TCGATAAAGTTCAATACTGTGCATGTTGTTTGACGTTCCTAACAGAACCCAACAAAGTATGCATAGAATCCAAGCTCGAATTCCCTATATGGCCCTATCGCAAACCTCCTATGTACATACAACAACATTCCGATCAGACATCGGCAAGGAGTAACCGGAAACCTTTCCCACCCACTCGACACAGGCTAAGGGATCCTTTCCAAGAGATAGTGGAGCTGATTTTCCCCTCTGCTCTACACGGATTTGGGCGTCCAGTTTTTCCCCTCCGCTCTACACGGATTCGAGCGTCCACCTCCCGGATACAACGAGTAGGTGACCTCTACTGATTATGCATTAATCAAAGGCACTATCGACGGGACACTTAGACTAAGGTTCTCACGCATACAACAGCTATCGAAAAGAACATTTGTACGAAATAACAAGTGCGGTAATTATAGATACAAATACTGTACCTACCTGAAAGCAGCGACAAACACAAAGCGAGGCTCGAGTAAGTGGTGAGGTCAACACCTCAAAACACCTACACGAAATCAAGATAGTCTCTCGATTACAATCAAATCCAACGAATACACAAACTTAGTCGAAATACTTCAACTAACTGGCTCGTGGAATGTCTCATGGAGTTATGGAACATTTGACTCAATTTGGGACTAAGTATGGGAAAGACATATAATAGTCTAATAGGGGTTGACCAAGTGAACCAAAAGTCAAAGGGGGTCGACTGGGGTCAACGGTTCGGGAAAAAGTCTGAAAATTAGGGTACTAATCGGGTTATTCTCAAAATCCACCCGAGGGTTCGATTCCATATATTGAACATATACAACACATCAATAGGAAGCAACATTTATGAAAATCACATAAAACCTCACACTTAACATAATGAACCAATGTTTGTAAAATAAGACAAGTAAAATACATATTTAAGAAGACCAGGCAAACGAATGAGTTTTAACCTAAAATTTAAACACATAATATAGCATGTTGAACAAAAAATTAATTCACCAAGTTTCAGCCCCAAAACATAAACATGTGATTTTATAAAATTAAAACAATTTACAGCAAAAACGAGCATGGATTTATTGACTGGCCAAAAGGAAGATTCAGGATTTAGAAATTTTAAGACAACAACTACAACAGGCTGGGAATAACATATAAAAATTTAAAGTATAAAAATTAAACATGTGAATTATGAAAATTATAACAAGTTTCAGCATATAACATGATTTGAATAGAAACTTGACAAAACTAGTCTAACAATTCCTGAGATTTTTACCACGTCAAATATCATATCAAATAAGCATAATGACCAAGTTTCATGCATTTTCACCTAGGAGTAAATTATATACGATTTTTCAAAGATTCTGCAGAAACAAACAATCAATTATTTACCCTAGCAATTTAGCTCCAAAAATTGTGAAAATGTAACACAAAGTTAATACATAACAGGGGTGTAATATATCAAAAATTCAGAATTTATGGACAACTATACGATTTATCATGCATTTTACAAGATTCAACAAACACATAAACTTGAAAAATCAATAACTTGAAAAATATAAATCCAAATTGCATACTGTGAAAACCATTGTGACTAGGACAAAAATGTTCCATATTCCAATAAGTTTCCACAAGATTAAACAAGATTCTAAGGGTTTCACTATAAATCCTATAGATCTCATTCTAGAAAACACAATATACAAACAATTTAATTCAAGTAATTCATGTAATATTATATAATAAAAAATTACACATATAATCACATAATATAATTGGAGTTTAGCAATATTTACCAAACTCCAAGGGAAGAAGGGCGGCTCGGTGCGTTCATGAGCGTGGTTGGGTCCTACGGGCAGGGAACTCATCTGCTTGTGCTCGGCGTTCGGTGGCGGCTCGCACGGCAAAAGCAACCTCCAGAGGTGGCTCAGGGACGGACGTTTAACATGCAAGAGGTGGTCGCGTGCAACTGAGGTGCGTCGGCTTGCAGGAGCGTCGCGCGGGCCTCGGCAGCAGCTGGCGAACGGCGCTTGCGGTGGGGATGCTCCGGTGATTTTCTCACGAGCTTGAGTGATGTTTCCGGCAAAATGAGAGAAGGGGGTGCTGGACGAGAAACAAAAATGAAGAGGAAAGAAGAGTGTGAGGGAGAAATGAGGGAAGGAGAGGGAGTGAAAAAGATAAAGGGAGAGAGTGGGTCTTCCGTTTTTAATACCATCAATTTTGTAACCTCCCTTCCATAAAACTTGATCAAGATATAATGGGGTAATGGCTGAATTTTGGGGATAGGGAGTTACATAATTTGATTTTAAAATTCAAAAAGGTAGCCATGCATGCAAGGGGAAAATCAGGCAAGGTTCGGGCTGGCTACGCGGGCGCGGGTTCCGGCTGGCTATGCGGGCGCGGGTTCCGGCTGCGAGCTTGCGCGGGTGCGGGCTTCGTGCGGTCAAGGCCCGGGTTAGTATGCATGCGTTCGACATAAAAATACTTGACTAGACTCGATGCTCGATCGATAGATAATTAACTTAATAATACAATTCGGCTTGATTTTAAAATTAATACAATTACAAGCATATAGTCACATAGAAATGAATAATCGAGCATGAATCTATATATATATATAATTACTAGCTCATGTGCATTTAATAAAACCTCAAAATTTTTCCCTCCAAAAGAGGTTACTTTGTATTAATTAAGTATTTATTTATTTTTATTTATTTTATTATATAGCAATTACTCCTAACAAATCATAAAGCCACATTAAATGAAATTATAATTTAATTTTTTTTTTCAAACTATTTATTTGATTTTTTTTTTTTTTGGTTTTAACTCATTAAGCAAGTGTTTTTATCAACATTAGTTATTTAAGTTTTATGATATAACCAAAATTTTCAAAATTTCGATACTATAAGAATAATTATTTCAATATTGTTTTATCTAATCAATTGTTCATACTAAAAAAGTATTGCAAAAGTTATATAAATGTAATCGATTTAAAAACTAATATGTAAGTTAGTAGTTTATCGTTCATTTTTACTAATGATAAAATTTATAAAATGTGATATGCTATTATCTAACTTTTGATTTTAAATATTACATACATAAACATATAACATATAAACTTATATTTACATCTGTGCATGTGCACAGGATCGAATACTAGTAAAAATAAATCCAGAAGATAAAATAATAAATAATACCATAAATAATCTGGAACAAATTGGGCGCTACAGACACCACCGCCTGAAATGAGTTCAAGCTGGTTCTCCCCATAATAATATTGTATGAAGACTCTGCTCCAACCACCACGAACCTTACCATCCTCACCTTCCTCGTCGCCCCTTTCCCCAAGGCGACAGACAAACTCATCTCTCTCATTGGCATGATTCTCCCCCATTGAAGCCATACAAAGCCGTGGCCACCGACTTTAACTCCACATTCAGCTCTCGGTTAATCTGTACAAAGCAATCATAGAACATGATATCGACTGAACTCCCTGTATCGATAAACACCCTCTTCACATCGAAACCCGTTACCTCCGTCGTGATCACTAAAGCATCATTATGGGGTAACACCACCCCTTCTACATCCTCCGCTCGAAAACTAATCTCCAGCACTCCAGGAGTAATACCCACTTCCTCTCTTTTCCTTTTCATCGCTCGAACATGTCCTCTCCTTGCGTTGTTCGAGTCTCCATCCGTGGTCCACCAGAAATCATATATATTGTTCCTCTCTTCACAAGGCCTGCATTCTCCTGCCTTCCTCGATCGCTACTCCCCGTCTTCTCCTACCTCCACCATCTCTTCGACCAGTTCGCCCTTCTCGTGCATCATCCTCCTCCTCATCATCATTTCTATCACTTTGTTCCCCCGATCCTTCCCTACATCTCCTTTTCTCCTTGCCCTTCCTGTCATGTTACACGAACTCCTTAAGATGGCCCGCTCGCCCGCTCGAATAAGGCGCTCAATTTCATCTTTAAGGTGTCGACAGTCCTCCGTGGTATGACCATAATCCTTGTAGAAACGATAATACCTCCTCGACTTCGACTGAGGTGGCCCCTCAAACCTCGACCTAGGCCACGTCACATCCTTTACACCAATATCCATCTCCATGGCCATCAACACCTCCCCCACCTTCGCGTTTAACAGTGTATAGCCATAGAACCTCTTACCCCCTGCAGTAGGCTAGTCTTTACACCTGTCTTCACGCCCTCGATCCTGCCTACCACGCCCTTCCATCCTAGACGATCCCCGCCTGAGCGACATCCTCCGGGATGACTACATCTTCCCCTTCTTCGGCTCTGGTCGAGCCATTTCCTCTAACTTAGCAAACTCTGCCTCCGTCTCCTCGAGGTTGATATACTTTTTGCACCTCTTCAGCACCTCATCATAAGTACGAGCAGGTGTTTTAGCAAGAGAAGTTCGACATGGTCCTGCTCATAAACTCCTGATCAATCCTCCAGCTTTGACCTCATCCGCAGCAGTGGGGATCTCCAAGTAGGTTCGATTATATCGAGCAACATATTTCCGCAACGATTCCTTCTCCCCTTGTCTCATCACCATCATGGTCAAGTATGTCTTCTCCTGCGCCACCGCACTCGAGTACTGATTTGTCAACTTATCTGCAAAATCCTCGAAATCTGTGATCGACCCTGGAGGGAGTTGTTGGAACCGGTCGAGAATGCCTCCCCTCAAGGTCAATAAGAATGCCCTGCAACTAACAGGATTAGTATATCCATGAAACACAGCCATATTTTCAAATGTCCTCACATGCCTCGACGGGTCAGAGGTCCCATCAAACACCAAACTCTTATTCCTTAAATTAGCTGGCAAAGGTGCTGCCAATATCTCTCCCGAAAAGGGGTGTCCTCGAGCTCGCCTCTCCATTCGACCATCCACCTTGGACTGCAATTGACGCAGCTGATCCGCAATCCTCTCCATCTCTTGGTCTTGCAGGGCTCCTCCTCCTCCATAACTGGACACGTCCTCCTCCGTGTTATGGTGGGTACCCGCCACCGTGGTTGGTGCAGTAACTGCCCGAGAAAGGCTATTTGTGACTTGTTGTACCGCATGTGCAGCCGCATCGGCCACCATCTGCTGCATCTGTTGTCTAGTCATCACCACCTGTTCACCAGGGCGTTGGACCTCCACTCGGGGTGGTGCCGCTCCTTGCACCACGACTCCTGCCGGCTGCATTCTGACAGGATCTGGTTGCTGCGGGGGTGGAATCACTGCCACCATCAGTGTGCAAGCCTCCTGAGCATGGCTCGAACCTCCTTCTCCTCCAGGAACCACTGGTGGGACCCCTAAGCCTTGCGGAGGAGGCGTTGGGGTCACCGGCATTTGCGCAGGTCCAGAGAAGCCCGAAGGAGGGCCATCTCCGAACGGCCTCGTCGTTATCCACGCTTCATCGAACGACGGCTGCAGATTGATTTTGGGAATTCCGTCCGCCATAGCTGTAGAGCTCACCCAAACTTAGTACATCGATTTTTGAACGAAATGTCCTACAGGCAGCACCAAATAGTAGCGTAAAAACCCTCAATTGGCTGAAACTCGATAGATCGTCTTCCTTCTCGTAGGTTGAACGCCACGCACCTACAAAGAACTCTCACACCGGAGGAGTTTTCCAGTGATGAGCCTCCAAAGCTTAAGTCAATATTTACTCAATCAATTCTCAATAGTAAAAGCGTATTGATCGTGTTCAACAAGAAAGACCCACCCCCTATTTATAAGGGTGGGATACCTGACCTAAGGCCTGCCCAGATTTAGTGAGTTGTCTACCCCAACTACCCGTTCGTACACACGCAGTGCGCATGTATCAGAGGTAGCCGTCGCCACTACCCTCTACACCAATATCTCTTCGACACGTGTCCTCTGCACATGGGTAAAATATTCCCCCTTTGATCCCCCTAACGTCACTCTGACAATTCCGTTGGAGACTCTCACATTTGACCTTATCCAAGTCAATCTTCCAAAACACTGCCCCCTTGAACAAGGTGCTCGACCATCAGGCTGTTCTCAGCCCTTGTATCGACCACCTGGGCAACTCTCTATTCGATCTCATCGGTTTTCAGTCAGACTTTCTCCGCCCTCGAGATCGCTTCATATGCACAAATCTTTGTCCTCCTAGCGATACTTAATTCTCCCCTATCGACTCGATATTATGACCAAACGCTGTCTTTTCCGTATCCTGACTCGCTTAACTGGTTTAAGGGGCCGGTTTATTCTTCTAGGTATAATATCCTACATCACACATGGTGATTATTATGTAAATGATAACAAATTTAATCGATCCATACACAATGATGGTGGTAGGAAATTATTATAAAAATTTTATAATTATATTTTGGACAAGAAATAAATTTGTGAATTGATTAATACTGGCAACATTCTAATTAGAATTTTAAAATCTATCCTTCAATTTTAAAGAATATGAACACTTGCAATATATTAAAGCTAGAATCTCATGTTTATATTTTTTAAAATAATTTTTGAAACAAATGTTTTATAAACAACAATAAAAAAATGGCATAAAAAATTGTTGATGTATTTTGTTTTAAATAATTTGGACACTTACAATATATTAAAGAAAGAATATCAAATTTTTACTATTTTTTTTCTAAATATATTAAAGAAAGAATCTTATGTTTCTAGATTTTTGTTTAGCTTCTAAAGACTAGGCATGCCTCATGTTTGGTTTGAACTTTTTATTTTCATTTTTTTTCGGAACGGTAGATACTAAGATACATCTCAAAGATAATAATCGTTTTACAAATCGAGAAACTAACTGACTTCAATTACAAACGGACTAGGAGGGTCATTCTACTAGTGCCCTAGACCAAACACAAATCAATCAAAAACAAGTACAATAAGGTGTTCAACAAGCAAATCACTAAAAAAAATACATAATCTCCCCCAAGCAGCTATAATAGCTGACCACTTAAAAGAACTGAATAATAGTTATTGATTTTGTTACTTTTTTTACTGGAGGTTTAATTTGTTGTGTAACTTACAAGTTGTATTTTGTAAGTTTTTTAAAGTTTCAAATTGGAATTTTAGATTGTTGTATGATTTCGACAATGTATTTCATAAATTTTTTATATCTTTTTTTATTTTTTTGTCAAAATTTCATCAAAATACACCACTTTTCATTTTTTTTCAATTTAATCACCAATTATCAAAGTTTGCAATTAAGTACACCAGCTTTAGACATCGTCGAAAACACACGTTGAAGTCCAAAAATAAAAATGATAAATTAAAATGTCACATCTCATCTTCTTCTATATACATATAAAATTCATATTGGTGCCTTAAAATCAAAATTCAGCAGATTCCTCAGCCCTAAATTCAAAATCAGTCTACTAAGAACACAAAATTAAAAAAAAAAATGTCGATCAGTTTGAAATGTTCTCTTGGGGCCACTGATCCAAGAAGTTTGTCGCAGTAATGGCGAACTGGTACTCTTGCATTTTAGTTTGTTGTTGTCAAATTTCTTTATGTATTTTATACTCTTGTATCTAGGTTTTCGAACAATTGTACTCTTGCATCTAGGCGTCGCAATATTTAAGGTCATTTTTAATTAACACTATTAAAATAGCCCTTCTAGCTATATTTTTCGTTACTCCACCCATTTCGCATAATATTCGTAAGATCAATGGTCCCCGGAGGACAAGAATGAAAATTTGTGCCCGCTTCAAATCGACGACCTTTGCACTCGTCCCGGATAGAGATACCACATCACATGATTCCACGACGGCTTGCATGCAAATACTGAAGATGAATCTTGATCTTTAGGTTTTTCAGTAGATTATAAAACATTATGAAGTGTTGTATGTCATAATCGTATTTTAAAGGGGGATTCTAAAATTACATGCTTTCATGGTTAATGATGTTCTTATTTTGATTGACATTGAATAGGATTTCTAAATATTTGCCTTTTTTGCCAATTGAAGTAATAATTTCAATATTTATTTGAATCATGGGGGAAATTTATCAATCTTGATAGTTGTGTAAATTATTTTGGAGGTGAGATCAGTACATAAGTTAGGCCCTGATAGATTTGGGTTCCTTGACCTTGAAGAAGAAATACGGAAACTTGGTTACAAAGAGTGGTGAAAGTATGTTATAAGATTTTCATTTTCAAATGATTTTATTGAAATACATAATGATGTTGAGGTGATGAACATGTTAAGTTCAATACAAAGTGGACATAAATATATTTCAGTGTATGTGGATGTGGGTCAGAATGATGTTCCCTGTGGCAGCGCATCAAATGAAGGAGTTCAGGAGAATGTTGGAGATGTACAGAAATATGTTGATGACTTCATCGATGTAGACTATGAACCATCTAGAGATAGTTCTAGCGATGATGGCTTGTCTGTAAGTGATTTTGGAACAATGATAAAGAGTACCTATCTACCAGGAGAGATAGAATTATAAATGGCCAAGATAATTCGTTAGCTGATACAGAGGAAATTATCGCAAACTAGAAGAGTGATGATTACTCAGATGATAATGATAATTCAATATACAATCATAAAAAGAGTTTTGATGGCTCAGATGATATTGATATTGGTTGCCAGCCAAAGAAGAAGTGCTAGTGTAAGGATCTTACTAGAAAGTTGTGAACAACACCTATAAGACAGCTTACAAAAAAGTTATTGATGATTTGAATGCTCAAGACCCTGAAGCATGTAAGGATCTTTTGGAAAAAAGAAACTTTTAGATTCTGTAAGGCTTTTATAATGGACATGCCTAGATGTGATATGATTTTTAATAATGCATGTGAAACTTTCAATATCAAATAGTAAAGGCTAGGAAAAAACCAATAGTTGCGATGTTGGAACTAATTAGAACATCTATAATGGAAAGGCATCACCAAAAGTTGATAGCATGTAGTGGGTGTAATGATGTAATATGTCCTACGATAAGGCAGAAAGTTGAGGATGCTAAGTTTAAAAGCAGGTTGTGTGTCCCTAAACCTGAACTGTGTGATGAGTTTCAGGTTGCTATCTATGATGATACGTTTGTTGTTGATCTGAGGGCTTTCATCTACACATGTAGAGAGTTTGATATTTCTGGCATTCCCTGTATACATGCTTCTTCAACAATACTCTATCTCAAAAGGGATGTTTTAGAGTTTGTGAATCCCTACTTTAGGACATGAGAGATATATGAGAGCATACTCATATGCACTTAAACCCATCAATGGGAAGTAAATGTGGTCTTCTGTCACTGGGACCAAGTTTAAACCCAACCCCCTCCATATAAGAGAATGCCAGGTAGACCCAAATTGGCAGGGAAGAAGGCACCTAAAGAAGAAGCTAAGAGTGTTTTAAAACTGAAGAGGTTTGGCTTGCAAATGAGGTGCTAAAAATGCTTGCAGATTGGACATAACAAATGATCTTGTAAAATTGAAGTTGCACCAAGGCTATCTAAGGTGAGTATTTATTCATTCTTTTTTTATTTTAAAGTGTGTTGTGTCTTGTATTGATAAAAACTCATATTGTACTTGGACTGCAGAGAGAAATAGGAAGGCCAAGAACCAAGGCAAGGTTTTGCCCTCCTGAAAATGAGCTTTATAATGCAGTTGTTGTTGGACAATCAGGAAGCTCTGCCTCCACACAATTCAGAAAGAGGAAAACACCTGTGAGAAGGAACTCACCCCAATCTATTGTGGTTAGAAAACAACAAATATATAAAGAAAGAGCAATGGTATGATAACTTGAGTGTTACATATTTGAATTAAATGCTGTTGGTGTTTGTATATGTTCTAAGTTTTCATTGTAGGCAAGAAAAGGCTATGGAGTTATGGTTTCACCATAAACAAGAAACATATATATAAGGGTTGGCATTTTTCTTAATTCATGTTAATTACTAATTGAAAAATAAACACTCTTGTCATTCATTTTCAGATGCCAAGTGACAAAAGGATCAAAACTGTTGAAAACAAAATAGGAACACAAGAAAGTCTGGTCAAATAGTTCTTAGATGTTAGGCCTTCAGTTTGAAGTTGAATAGGATTTGCACTATATGACAGTTATCGTGTATTGGCTTCATTTTATGTGTGTTGTTTGAAGTTGAATACTTTGTCTTTTTGAGTGCCCTTTTGAAATTATAATGACTATAATTGTAATATCCCGATAATTTATCGGTATAAATTACGTTTTAGTTCCGATATAATAATGTTATCGTTTATTATTTTCGGAATTCATTATGTTCAGTCGAGATTACCGAAATTTAATTTCGACGTACCGTTTACGCTCGGAATAATTTTGGTAATTAGGTATTATGTTTAATTAATAATTAAACATAAAGTTACGTGATTAACTATTGATTAATCACAATTGATGTTCAAAGCCGTGTCATTTGGGGGAAATTTTCCCAAATTCCAATTAAAAAGCCGTAGCTTTCTTAAGATGAAGAAAATCATTTTTCTTTCACATAGTGAGCATGAAACGTGGCATATGTAGCCGATGCTTAGTCACCATAATCTCTCTTAATTGAGGAGCAAATGTCAAGACCACAATTGGCCAC